ACAAATACTTGCAGGAATTTGAATTTTTTTTTTTAGATACAGTATGTACATACAATCAGTGCTGTATTTGTCTTGGGCAGCACTAACCAGGGGGTGGTTGAGTGTATGAGTGTATGAGTGTGTCTGTGTGTGTGCCTGTGAATGTGTGTGCATGTAAGTGTATGAGTGTATTTGAGTGTGAGTGTACATGCGTCTGTCTGTGAGTGCTTGTGTGTGTGTGCATGCATATGAGTGTGTGTGTGTGTCTGTCAAATCAGCGAGTGTCTGTTAGTCATTGAGTCTGTTTGTGACTGTCAGTGTGTGCCTTTCAATGAGTGTCTGTCAGTGTTTTTGTGTCTGTCAGTGTGGGGGTGTGTGTGTCTGTTTATGAGTGAGTGCATCTCAGGTCAGTGAGTCTGTGTCTGTCAGTGATGTCTGTGTGTATGTCATTAACTGTGTGTGTCTCTCAGTGCATATCTGCCAGTGAGTGTCTGTTGGGGAATATGTGTGTGTCAAATCAGCAAGACTGTGCCGGTCAGTGACGTCTGTGTGTTTGTCATTGAGTGTGTGTGTATGTGACTGTCAGTGTGTATCTGCCAGTGTGTGTCTGTCATTGTATGTGTGTGTGTCTGTCAGAATGTGTTCTTAAAGGGACACTATAGGCACCCAGACCACTTCAGCTCAGTGCAGTGTCCCAATCCCCTTTACCCTGCAAGTTTAAGCTCCTCCAAGCTCCGCCCACTTAGCTGTTTAGTGCAGGAAACACTTGGTAGGTTGAAAGAATCAGCCCGTGTAGATTTAGAATAGGACATCAATCACCTGAATGCTTTCAAACAACAAAAAGGATGGAAAAATGATGGAATAGATTCCTTTGAATCTTCCTTTAATTGGTACTCTTGTTATAAGCTTTGGGATGTCTCTTACCAGAGTGTTTCTCTTTGTAGAATCTCTTGGTATTTTTTTTAAATTTGAAGATGTTTTTATTGTTTTCGAACAGACATGGGAAAAGTACATTACAGTGGTACCTTGGTTTACAAACGCCTCGGTTAACATAATTTTTAAACATTGTACAAATTTTACCAAGGAAAATCCATTGAAAACAATGCCTCGGTTTCCAAATTTTTTTCGCAATACAAAACAAGTTCCCCCAAGATGCATTGCACCTGGGAGGTTTATAGCGCCATCCCCGTGCATGCTGGAGTCTGTGGGTAGCACGTGGTGCTGAGCGTGGAGGTGTTGGAGCGGCTTTTGCATCGAGTTTTGGAGCCATTCGGGAATTTTTTTGCAGTGGTTTTGGGACTTTTTGGTGCATTTCTCAAGAGGTGGAAAGGTAGGGAGCTGAGCTTCATCGATTGCATGCCTTTTACTGTGTGTTCTGCATTGTGGGTTTCCATGCCAGCTCATTTTGACTTTTTTTCTGACCTCCAGAACGGATTAATTAGTTTTCAATGCATTCCTATGGGAAACCGTGTTTCGGTTTACACATTTTTCGAAATAAGAAACATACTGGAGAACGCATTGAATTCATAAGCCAAGGTACTACTGTATAGGGAATCACAACAGTAGCACTAGTCCGACAATATATTGGGATACAGAAACATAAAGAGTTATTAGTCAATATGCTTGCAGATCAGTGTGAACATTTTATGCCAGTAACCACTTAAATGTAATAGAGTATAGAATATACTTCGATACATAGTAATAAGGTGAGACAATGTAACTAAACTCTTGTGTCAGCCTACAATGTGGCATTGCTTTAAGGAATGCGTAGGTACCTTCCCGACTGATATATATTTCCTACAGGCTCATAGATAAACGTGTCTATCAGCCAATGTATGGGTTGTGAGTTTTTGCCTTCTGTGACCTTCGGTGCTTGATTGGTTGGCGTGCGGACTGGTTAGAGAACAACGTACTGTCTAGGGAAGGGCAAATGGATACAGAAATAAAAAAGAAGGGGGAGGGGTTAACTCTCTACAATCATCACTGTCATTTCCTTTTTGTAACCAAGAAACAGAAGGCAAAGGGGTCACGTAGGCATCCTCGATGCTGCTCAGCAGCAATGTTTTTTTTTGTATACCACTCTTACCACGGTTGCCACGCTGTGTGAAACGAGTCCCTATCTTTTGGTGTTTTTATGGCCATGTGCTCATTTGAATAAAATAAGTAGATTTTTTCCATGAGTTGGGCTCTAGTGGAGCACACTTGTTGTTTCTAGTTGAGGCCTTTCAAGCTACGTGCCGATAGTATAATCAATGCCCCTATTTGTTTGGAAGCCTTGGGTAGCCTGTCTGGGAATCTCAGAAATAAACATATTTTTATAGATGTTTGTATGTCTGTTAGTCCCACCCCCTTCATGATGTGAGGTACCAAGTCCTAGAGTGGAGCAATATTTGGGTAACGCCAGCAGATGTGAGTCATATTGCCCTCTTCTCGCTTGCAGTGCCAACATGTGCTGGAAGTCATGGGAATACATCTTGTTTAGTTTGTGTGGCATGTAAAACCATTTATAAATAAGCTTCATATGAGCTTCTACATGTGGGTAGCATTTGGTAAGGCCTTTCAGCACATTTATTGGGGCAAGCCATTCTTGCTCTCCGACTCTCCGATTCTGCTTTTAACTGCCATGGCTTAACAAAGGGAAGGTTTCCCTTAGCGTGCTATAACATAATGCTAACGCTTTGGGGTGTCTTGGTGACTTCCAGCATCTATCATAAATCTTACGGGCTGCAAAACTGAGGGAGGAAGTGGCAGGTCTTTACAACGGTACCTGGGATTGTACAATACCATTGTAGGTACTGAAAAACATATGAATTTGGTAAGAGGTAGACTTTTTGTAAATCCGGGAAGGGTATGATCTCCCCTGTTTTGCATATATTGCCTATAGTGCGTATTCCCTTATTATACCAAGACTTGAAAGTGATCCATGTGGAGAAAAACATCAGAGCGGACAATGGTGTGTCATGATTGTACCTATGAGGGTCCTCTAGGAGTGATCTGAATTGGTCCCATTGCGAGAGTGAGAGTAGTGTAGTTGGGAGTAATTTAAACATTTTTGGTGTTCACATTAGGTAAGATAGTGTGGATCCTGTCACTTTAATGTTTTCCATGTCCACTCATTGCTGTTTACCCTTTGTTTCATGCATTTTGATTGCAGATTCCAACAGAAAAGATTCATTGTGGTACATCACTACATTCGGTAGCCCTACCCCTGCCTGTGTGGGATATTTTTGCATAAGTGAAAGTGGGATGCAATATTTACGGGAGTACCACACGTATGAGTTAATAATTTTCTGTATTCTGTATGCAGAGAGACCTAAACATGAAAGCTTTACTGATTTCCTTTTCGAGAAGATCATAGTACACATGCTCTGTAAGGTCTTGTAATTCAGGTTAAAGGTGGATTGTAGGGAGGATGCCAATTTTACCCCTAAGTAGGTTAGGCTAGACTTCCTCCAGTCAAACTGATAGCATTGGGAAAGTTTCTGTATTGTGTGTGTTGGTAATCTGATTGGTAATGCTTTGGTTTTTACTTGGTTTAGTTTGTAATAGGAGATGTCTCCACATTCCTTTAGCAAGTGGAGAAGAGCTGGTACCGGGGTGAGTGGGTGTTCTAATGACAGTAGGACACCTCCTAACATCAAGAGGCAGTATTCAACTTTGCCTATGCTTACTCCACGTATATCAGGGAGGTGTCTTATTTTATAATCCAGCGGTTCCAGAGAGAGAATAAACAGCAGGGGCGAGTGGGTGAAACCCTGTCTATAGCCGTTAGCAATCTGAAATTAGATAGATATAAATCCTGTGTTGAAAACATGGGCTGCTGGGTGGTTGTAAAGAGCTAAGAAATCTTCTGTAAAAGTACTAGGAAAGCTGAATTTCAAGAGGACCCACTCCATGTATTGCCAATTAAGTCTGTTGAATAGCCTTCTCCTCGTCTAGTGCAAGGAGAAGACTTTCAGTGTTCGATGTTTGCATATGTGAGATTATATTCAGTATTTTGCATGTATTGTCTGATCCCTGTCTTCCTCTAATGAAGCCGGATTGATCAGTGTGGGTTATTCGTGGTATAAATGTCGACATTCTGTTTGCTAGTATCTTGGCGTATAATTTAACATCTACGTGTAGGAGGGACATGTAGTGGGTAGCTTCCTCTAGGTTCGGTAGGGTAGCTATGTGGGCTAATAGAATGTCTCTGGAGATGGCCCACTTGGTATAGCAAGTACTAAAGATTTGTCAGGTGAGGGGAGAGGAGTTCAAAATATGTTTGGTAATTTTTGTTAGCCATCCGGTCCTGGGACTTTACATGTTGGTAGGTTTTTAATGCCCTAAACAACTTCTTCACAGCTAAAATGTGCAGAGAACGACTCGAAGGTGAGGTAAACTCACTGAACCCAGGAATGCCTCAATATCTGCTATGTGTGGTGTGCGTACGGTAGGGTCATCTCTCAAGTTGTATAATGTGCTGTAGTATGTGGCGAACTCGTTCACAATACCAAGAGAGTTCAGACCTTTCGTTGGGGACACAATGTGTGTTATTTTAAAGTGATTAATGCAGGCTCACAATTGGGAGGAAAAAAAGATATACATATATCATTGTAAAAAAACTAGATGAATGGATGTTAATGTGGACTCTTTCTTAATTTCTTCTTGTCTTCAGTTGATTGATATATATACGTCTTTTGTATATATATTCTTGGGCCAAATGCTCGCCACAATAATATATGTCTATATTATTGAAAAGTAGTAATACGCAATCTGACTTACGGTTTCTTCAGGTTTATTCTTCGTTACGGATACATAAAACATAATATAGGATGTTACAGGATAATGGACATTCAACAGCAGATGGTAATTGCTGGACTTCTGATGGGAGAGTTACATCGTTGTACAGAGCCAAGCCAAGAGTGAGAGCGACCTCGTGTCCCTCTGTTACTATATAGAAGTGCTAATACTAACGTCAGCATATAACTCTAGCCATATAAGGACAAAACCCCCACATCCACATTCCAGAGCTCTCGGACAAAGAAAGCCTTGTGACTTATTGATACCATCTGTTACTTATGTCAATCCACACATCCATATATATATAATCAATAGAAACATAGAATATGCAATATTCTACATTCCCTCTGTTTATGGTTTGTTTTAAAACCATAACACAATGTAATTAACCTGTCCATTCATACATCACTTGTATCACATTCATTGAGCATAGAACAAGATGAAGTCACAACTTTCTATTATATGAGAGTTCTTAGAAGGTCGAGTTTCTATCCCTCATACTGCTTACTTTACTTCAAAACTCCCTCTGTTTCAGCTATGTATTGATATCCATATCCATATTACATCATAACTACTTGAACATAATATATACATATATCACAATAATAAATGAATAAAATAAAATATTTACAAATGTTGATCCAATAAACAATAAAGCAATCAGAAAGATCTACCTGCTCAGGTACAATCATGTCTTTGTAGACAACAAAATCAAGATCGTAACTTTCTAAATAATAATAACTGTGTTTCACTATCATATTCCTACAGACACATATAGCATAGTATTTTCATTCTCAATACCTGATATTACTTAAGTACTAATACATGTATTACTATAATATCCTGTCCAATTATATTTCCATGAATCGTATGGTTTCTAGCAACTTAAAATCTTTATCATTTGTATTCATGAATTACATTCCTATACCATTAATACCACCTAGTGATGATTGTATCAGTACTTTACAATCATAGTATTTAATTTGTATATTCAGTAGGCTCTCACTACCTGAAATATACCAACACTACTTATAAGTTTCATTCAAATGATGTGTTATCAACCATGACGTTAATAATGTTCATGGTGTTGACAATACCTATTGTCTTAGAAATTCTGCACCCAGAAATCTTTCTATCATAGATTTGTTTTTGTTTACATAATTATAATTTTCACTAAAATTCCACCTTGTAGTAACAAACTTTTCATTCCATAGGAGAATGGTTTACTTTAAAAGAACTTGGAAAGAATAATTTAAATTCATTATCATCACTCTCTTCATTAGCATTGTGATGACTTATTAATGTAATACATCTTAAAAGCAGGATTGCCCTAATGTTCTGATCAATCCGTATTCCTTAGTACACTTCAACTGACTAAAATAAAATAAAATAAAACAAAAATAAACTTGGGGTCATACTGCCCAGAAACTCTTATTCCTAGTCTGTGTCTTACAAACTCAGGGAAATCTTAACAACGTATTCAATTCATTGGATACCGTCATATCCAGAAACCTATTCTCCCTAGTCCATACCTTTATAGACTTAGGTCAAATATAATTGTGTACTATACTCTTTCCATTCAATTTGGTTCCTCTTGGATCTCTGAACTCTTATATCCAAGGCCTTCTTAATGTATACTATTACTTAATATTAATCAATATAAATTATCCTTCCCTAGTTTTCTTCCTTATGTTACCATTGTTTGTTTTACTTCACCTTGATATAAACAAATTAATTATTATAATTTATCTATGAGATACTATTGAACTCAATCTTTGTGGTATTAAGTAACCATGATCCTTATTTTATCAACTTCATATTTTATCTTCCTCTGATACTTCTCATTCTATGTATAGGTCATAATGTAATAGTTCTCTCCATAATACTGTCCTTTCATAATTTTACTCCATGTGTTATATTTATAAGTACTCTCTTTTGGTATTAATACTCATAACTGTTAAATAACTTTTCATTGTCTGTTTTCTTCTTCATTAATATTTAGGAATTTATATTAGTGTCAATCTTTTATTTCTTTGTAAGTCTGTTAATCTTCTGTATCGAATGAACTCTGTAGAATCTTCCATCACAGTTTGCAGATCAGATGAAAAGTCTCTTTCCAACAGTCGATGTCCAGTTGTCTGAAGGAATGCTTTCCTGATTTATTGCCACAAGGATCTGTCACGCTTTACCTACATTAAAACAAAAAAACATGTGCAGCATCAATACAATGGCTTACAATGTTTATATCTCATTATTATTACACAGTTTAACATTGAATCATATTGACTACACAAAACATACTCATATCCTCTCATGAGATCTACCATCTAGTGGTCATTACATTTATGCCATGTGATGTATAATCTTTAAATTTCCTTATATTAAAATCTTTCTGAACATGTAAATTCTCAATTCTCAAACTTTTTATTACTCATACCCCCCTTTTAAACTGTTTAATAATCTGGAGGTATAACCTAATCACATATCAGATGTTACAACAAAATATTGTTTTACACTATACTTTAGCAATAGCAGCCATTTTGTCTTAACACTGGCACCATTTTGTCACATGAAACAAACTACAAAAACATATATTGTTTCCTTCATCAAATGTATTTGTAAATCTAGGTTTTATTCTATCAAAACTTTTGTCTTCTAAATAGTCAAAACATATATATGTCCAGGCTTTGCAAAATATAGTAATCCATTATCAGTCATGATATTAAAATCTCATTCTCATGAATTAAATCAAAGATTTTAAATCAACCTCAGAAGTAACAACATTGTTTTTTCCTTCTGTAAAATGATTGGAGTTACTGTATAATCGCATACACCCAATATAACATTGCATGTTCCTAACTGCTACATTAGTGTATTTCATTCTGTCATATTTGCAAACTTGATGTACATTTTTACTTTAATTAGTTAACCTAATACTTTTTTATAACACACATAAAACAATGAAAAAACAGTTCAGACTAACAATTCATTAAAACAACAAACTAACATAGATCTCTATTCTTGTGCTGTTCTTAATTCTGGAATCAGCCTGTGTACATCTGTTGGCACACATAACCATGCTCATTCCCTAAACTGATCATATCTCTTGAAGTTACCTGATTCTTATAACTTTCTGTGTTACGCTGCATTGCTTGTCTGTCTCCTAATTTCGATTTAGCTAAAATTGCTTTTATTTGTCTGATTATCAGTTTACAAGGAAAGGCTTTAATTGATTTATCTCCACATGTATTTTCTCTGTCAAAATTTTCAATCAACAAATTTAATTTCTCATTTGCTTTTGATTTGATATCTCGGATAAAATATCTGCAAGATCTTAAATAATGTTGTTTATTGCACCAAAAACAAATAACTTTAGGAGTTATATTCTGCATTTGATTTAAGCAAATTGGGAGGGGCTCAGCTGTCTGTATCACTCTTTTACACTGAGTCCACAAAGAAGAAGAAGGAGGTGTGTAAAATCTGCACTTCTTCCTCTGCCTAAATCCACAAGTTGTTTTAACCCCTTCATTCTTGGTTTCCCTCCTTAAGTTATCCAAGAACAAAGCTACTTCTGTCAAAGTGCTTTTTTCTCTAGCTAACACAATTGCAGTTGGATCTAGATCTTGAAATTTTTTCACAAATTCATTAATTAACTGATCTTCAGAAAAATCAGCAACAAGTCTATATGCACTTTCAAATTTTACAAGAAAACTAAATATATCCTCCCCTTTGTGTGGTTTTAGTTTTTCCAACATTTCAGTGTCTGCAAAATCATTCCCTGTTGCTAATTTTATTAATTGTGTTAATCTGTCTTGCTTATTTCCATATATTATTTCATCATTGTCCTCGAATTTTACAGGCGCGGTCAGCCTACATGCCATTTGAGTCGGCAGCCATATTTGAAATAGTCTATTCCTTTGTTCGTCATTTAGGCTGTATTTGTCTAAATTAGACTCAAACATTTCAGCATTAGTAAATGCATCCACTGACGTGTCATAAACTGGAATACATTTCACAATTTTCATTAATTGTTCATGGATTTTCAAATTAAGTTTTGCAGTTCTGTCTTGAAATTTACATTTCTGCAAATCACTCTGTGAGGATACATTTTCAGTATCTATTGGTTCTGGGATTAGATTCTGTGCCTGTATGTTTCTTGTATTAACACACACTAGTTTAACTTCTTTTCTAAGCTGGCAACTCAAATCATTTCTTTGTTCAACTCTATCCTCTAATTCACAGACTTTTTCTGACAATGTTCTCTCTGTTACATTGTTACACTGTTCATTTAAATCTGATTTGTCTTCTGTTAACCCATTCAAATCTACTTCTTTTTCTGCTGATTCTAAATTGTCTTTACCTGTATTTCGTTTACAAATCAATGCATTGTAAGTACAGACTAGTTTCATAACATTTCTGATCTTTTGTTTTTTCTTATTAACAAACAATTTCTTGGCAATTTCACTATTGGCAATTTCACATTGTGTGTATAAAGATTGCCACAATACAGCATCTGAATAGCTGCTATTAAATGCAAACTGCAATTTACTTTTCTCTGTAATATCATTTATGAATTCCATGTTACTCACCAGATCAGTTATTTCTGTCTATTTCGTTGCTTCATCCACACAGCTGCGCAGTTCTTTGCTTGGACGCTTGCCAATGTCTGCCACGTGCTTGCTTCTAGAATTCACGTTGTATCTTGTGCTTTTTGTCTCAGTTGTAGAAAATAGTCTTGTACAGTCTTTGATTTGAAAACTTTCCTTTTCTTACAAACCACCGTTCTTCTATGCTAATCTAGATTCTTTTTTTCTCTTCAAGTTTGTTTTCCCAGTTCCAAAATAGCTTTGTAACTCGATTCTTCTCTCTCCCCCCTTGAAGTGGGAACAAAACTTGAATAGAAGACTGGCAGGCTAGCCAATGTAAAAAATATAGATGAATGGATGTTAATGTGGACTCTTTCTTAATTTCTTCTTGTCTTCAGTTGATTGATATATATACGTCTTTTGTATATATATTCTTGGGCCAAATGCTCGCCACAATAATATATGTCTATATTATTGAAAAGTAGTAATACGCAATCTGACTTACGGTTTCTTCAGGTTTATTCTTCGTTACGGATACATAAAACATAATATAGGATGTTACAGGATAATGGACATTCAACAGCAGATGGTAATTGCTGGACTTCTGATGGGAGAGTTACATCGTTGTACAGAGCCAAGCCAAGAGTGACTAGACTGCGCCTGAGAGACCTCGTGTCCCTCTGTTACTATATAGAAGTGCTAATACTAACGTCAGCATATAACTCTAGCCATATAAGGACAAAACCCCCCACATCCACATTCCAGAGCTCTCGGACAAAGAAAGCCTTGTGACTTATTGATACCATCTGTTACTTATGTCAATCCACACATCCATATATATATAATCAATAGAAACATAGAATATGCAATATTCTACAATCATATAGTGTAACACTGTTAATATTTCGTAAGTGAACGAGGAGTAAGTAGATGTACACTCACATGTAGCAGAGCTAAATACAGAACTCTACTGTTCTTGCGCACAGACGGAATAATCCCCGTCTTAGGATAAATGTAAGGTGGTCCACGTCTTGATGGTCTCAGAGAGGAGAATCCACATAGTGCAGTAAGTACTAATATCTATTAGGATGATAAATAAATATAAAGTATCGTACTCACATTTACTAGAGCGTGCCTCGCTATATAATATTACCAAATATATATATATATATAAAAAGATATGGAAGGGCTGCACCAAATAAGGGTAGATAGTCCAGTAAAGTATTGCTAGGGTGCCAATAGATGGTCTAGGATACTTGATAGAGTTCCTCTGTGGATGCGTCTGGTGTAGACCGTTCCGTATATGTAAATACAAGAGAGGTAGAGGCAACTAATGGTATAGTATGAAAGTTCAGGGTGTGATAGGTAACAAAAAGTAAAGAACTCACATTCAAGAGAGCTATGGCCAGCTCTGGTGTGGATTGTGTACAGCGGTATAATCCCCGCTTATGGGATATGTAGGGAGGGGGTCTCCGTCAACACCGCCTGGTAGTCCAGAACTCGGAAAAGAAAGACAGAAAGCAACAATAGTGCTCTCAATTTTGATGTGGTTCAATGTGCAGATAAGAAGAGGTAAAAAACTCACATTTGAGGGAGCTATGGCCAGCTCTGGTGTGGATAGCGTACAGCGGTATAATCCCCGCTTATAGGATATGTAGCGGCGATACGTCCGTCAGCACCGTCTGGTGATCCAAGGCTCCAATATAGAAGAATAAAAAGCAGCAATAGTGCTCTCAATTGTGATAGGTTAAGAGAGTAGTAGAGAAAATAAAATAATACTCACAAAGATAGAGCAGAGGTACTGCTCTGTGGATAGGCGCCGGTGGTATGATCCCCACCTAGGATTTCTTGGAGTACTGGAACTTTAAAATTGCCAGTGGAAGTAAAAGTAACCAGGAAAGGTTAAAATGCCAGGAATAGGTAAAAAAAGCATAAAGAGTGCAATAAAAAGAGGATTGGTACAATAAAGTAGCCAAAAAACTTTTATTGATCTAAAATTCACAGTAAAATACAGAATTAATAACCAAAAACGCGTTTCACCATAAGTGGCTTCTTCAGAATGGGATAAAAGTAGTAACCTGGCAGGGGTTGTTTAAATAGGGCTATGTTTGAGGAGAGCTGAAAAAAAAGTTCCAAAAAAAAAAAGTTCCAAAAAAAAAGGTGTTTGATTAAAGTTTATAAAAAACAAAAAAAAACAAAAAAAGTTTTTATGAACTTTAATCAAAACACCTTTTTTTTAACTTTAATCAAACAACTTTTTTTTTTAACTTTAATCAAACAACTTTATTTTTTCTTTCTCTTTAAAAAACAACTTTCTCACCCTCGTTTTCACATTTAAATAATTTAATACTCTTGAATCCTAATTTTGAAAAGTGATTTTAAAAATTGTCTCTGATTGGCCAATTACACTTTTGGCGCAATTTTCAAATTAACATAGCCCTATTTAAACAACCCCTGCCAGGTTACTACTTTTATCCCATTCTGAAGAAGCCACTTATGGTGAAACGCGTTTATGGTTATTAATTATACCGCTGTACGCTATCAACACCAGAGCTGGCCATAGCTCCCTCAAATGTGAGTTTTTTACCTCTTCTTATCTGCACATTGAACCACATCAAAATTGAGAGCACTATTGTTGCTTTCTGTCTTTCTTTTTCGAGCTCTGGACTACCAGACGGTGTTGACGGAGACCCCTCCCTACATATCCCATAAGCGGGGATTATACCGCTGTACGCAATCCACACCAGAGCTGGCCATAGCTCTCCTGAATGTGAGTTCTTTACTTTTTGTTACCTATCACACCCTGAACTTTCATACTATACCATTAGTCGCCTCTACCTCTCTTGTATTTACATATACGGAACGGTCTACACCAGACGCATCCACAGAGGAACTCTATCAAGTATCCTAGACCATCTATTGGCACCCTAGCAATACTTTACTGGACTATCTACCCTTAATTGGCGCAGCCCTTCCATATCTTTTTGTATCTATCCACCGAAGGACCCGAGGGGTTTTCCTTCATTTGGGTTGCTGCCTACCTTGACTAATTTTGTGATTACTAGCGCTGAATTCCTTTTGTGTTTAAATATATATATATATGTTTTTAAGGTACCAGTCTTTTTTAAGTACCGATTTTTTAACCCTATTTCCATCATATATACTTATGTTTTATATGTATTTTGTGTTACTTTTTATGTATTTACTGTCTGCATGTATCTTGTTATAAGATAATGACACTCATTTATATCAGCGGCTTTCTTCTACTATGAATAGACATATATCTATATAATTTTCTCTCTATTATGTACACACCTATTATGACTGTCAAGCTGATTTACAAATTTTCTGTGTATTTTTTATACACTAATATTATTTATACTTATAATTGTAAGATATCAATGTGCATTTTTTGTTCCTATAGCTTTATTTTTTATTTTTCAAATGACCCTCTTTTTAGGCATTTTTAGCAATTTTATTTTTGCCTTTTGACATCTGCTCTTGTTCTACAATGGTGTGAGTGCGCTTAGAGATGTTATATGCCTGTCACTTTAAATTGCATGAAAAGTTTCTATTGGTGCTATTACACTAAAAAGTATATGGCTGCAGACTAATCTATTTAAGTTTATTATTGTACAGGAATACAATATGCACTATCAGATCCACCAGTATACATATGATTGATAATATTTGTATCTATAGTATAAAAGTATCGCATTGTCATTATAATCGCCGTTTTTTGTTTGCGTTCCATTCGTGGAACGCAGAGAATACCACCGTTTGGTCACGCCGCGTCATTTCCGGTATGACGCGTGCGTTCCACCGGTGGTTAACACAATCCATATCCTTAAGCATATTATTGGCTAAGATGGCGCCTTTATAAGGACTTCATCCACACTTCTGAAGAAGCCTCCATAGGTGAAACGCGTAAAGTGGATTTTTATGGACTTTCTCATAGAGTGTTTTCTATATATTTGTTTTTATTGATTTTTATGTATAATAAACAGCTATAATTTATATATTTTTATCACTCTGAGATATCCATTATTATTTTATATTTTTTCCTGGTTACCATCTTATTCCTTGGTGGGGATTATACCACCTACACCTTATAAACTTGAGCGAGGCACGCTCTAGTAAATGTATATTTATTTATCATCCTAATAGATATTACTACTTACTGCACTATGTGGAATCTCTTGTCTATCTATGTGTTCTTTATTTGAGACCATCAAGACGTGGACCACCTTACATTTATCCTAAGACCGGGATTATTCCGTCTATGTGCAAGAACAGTAGAGCTCTGTATTTAGCTCTGCTTCATGGGAGTTACTCCTCATTCACTTACGAAATATTAACAGTGTTACACTATTATTTGTATATCTTTTTTTCTCTTTTGAGGTACACTATTGAAAGTATATGACCATAAGGACTTGAGTACGTATATCCGTATCACAATAAGGGCGCCGTTTCCTTTTTCTTTTTGTTCACTATTGTTTTATCACAAGGTAGGGAATCCTTGTGTGGTCACTGCTGCCTAGTCTCTATTGTATCTACCACTATAGTAAGTGCCTGTTTTTACTTGTTTTCTATTAACAATTGGGAGGCTAGTTGAGCTCCTGGTGTGTTACCCTGTGCAAAGAATTTGTGTTTGCATTTGCGGAGCATGAATGTGGTTTTTTGCTAATTCTATTTCTTTTAGTTTATCCTGTAAGTGTCACATCATGCCTTGTTCTGTGGATCAGTCTGGTGATGGCTTCTGGTATCCAGTACTCTTTTTACAATTCTTGTTGAGTTTTTCTTGGTTTTTTGGTTTTCTATACTATGTCTGGTTTTCTTTATGCTGGGTTTTTCTGTGTTAATTCCTGTAATCCGTCCCTGGAATTCCCAGTGTCCATGTTTCAGTTAAATGTTTGTTTTATGTTGCCACACCCGTTTGTTTTCCATCATTCCTTTTGTTTCAGTGTCCCTGCAGGCAGCTGCTCAAGTCTTCTGCCCTTTCTTGCAGGTAAGTACTATGTGTGTTTTCTTTGGTTGGTTTAGCTTACATTAGGCAGAGTAGGACCTGCCAGATATGGGGTACATTACATAGAAACATAGAATGTGACGGCAGATAAGAACCATTCGGCCCATCTAGTCTGCCCAATTTTCTAAATACTTTCATTAGTCCCTAACCTTATCTTATAGTTAGGATAGCCTTATGCCTATCCCACGCATGCTTAAACTCCTTTACTGTGTTAACCTCTACCACTTCAGCTGGAAGGCTATTCCATGCATCCACTACCCTCTCAGTAAAGTAATACTTCCTGATATTATTTTAAAACCTTTGTCCCTCTAATTTAAGACTATGTCCTCTTGTTGTGGTAGTTTTTCTTCTTTTAAATATAGTCTTCTCCTTTACTGTGTTGATTCCCTTTATATATTTAAATGTTTCTATCATATCCCCCCTGTCTCGTCTTTCCTCCAAGCTATACATGTTAAGATCCTTTTAACCTTTCCTGGTAAGTTTTATCCCGCAATCCATGAACCAGTTTAGTAGCCCTTCTCTGAACCCTCTCTAAGGTATCAATATCCTTCTGAAGATATGGTCTCCAGTACTGTGTACAATACTCCAAGTGAGGTCTCAACAGTGTTCTGTACAATGGCATGAGCACTTTCCTCTTTCTCCTGCTAATACCTCTCCCTATACAACCAAGCATTCTGCTAGCATTTCCTTCTGCTCTATTACATTGTCTGCCTACCTTTAAGTCATCAGATATAATCACCCCTAAATCCCTTTCCTCATATGTTGAGGTTAGGACTCTATCAAATAT